TGACCACTTTCACTCTCATTCTCATGCCATTCCTGTGTACACAGATGGCTCTAAGTCTTCTGACGGCGTAGGATTCGCAGCAGTGTTTCTGGACAGCGTCGTACAAGGGCATTTACTATTTTCGGCTAGTATTTTACTGCTGAATTGTATGCCATCCTTACAAGCACTTATCCGTATTGCATCTATGCCTGTGTCATCATTTGTGGTTTGTCTGAGACTCCCTTAGTGTAAAGTAAAAGGACACAAGTGCAACTAATGTAAACATTTATTGTGGCAATGTTTCGCTCTCCAGGAGCTTTATCAAGCCATTACAACAATACATGGACACGGGAGGGTATATAAAGGCTCAGAGTGAGGTGAAATTTACTAGTGAGGTACCATTTCAATGTTCACTAGTGGTAGTAGTATAGTAGTAGTAGTAGTAGTGGTAGTGACAAAGTAATAGAATATGGTAGAGCAATTAATTCGTACATGAGTAAAAGGATAAAAAAGCTTTTACTTGGGTAACATAAAAAATAGGTTGGAAAAATATAGAGTGGAATGGGGCAGCTTGTTTCAGTGTTCCTCTCTGTGCTTTGTGTAGTATAACGGAGAGACTTGTGATGGCAGGGTTTACTGTTTTCCTCCTGAAAACAGTAACCCTGCCATCACATAGTCTCTCCTGTTATACTACACAAAGCACAGAGAGTGAACACTGAAACAAGCTGCTTCATTCCACTCTATATTTGTCCAACCTATTTTTATTTTACCCAAGAAATAGCTTTTATATCCTTTTACTCATGTACAAATTTAATTGCTCTACCATATTGTATTACTTTCGTCACTCCACTACTACTACTACTACCACTAGTGAACATCGAAATGGTCCCTTTCACTAGTATTACACCTCACTCTGAGCCTTTATAAAACCCTCTGTGTCCATGTATTGTTTGTAATGGCTTGATAAAGCTCCTGGAGAGCGAAACGTTGCCACAATAAATGTCACATTAGTTGCACTTGTGTCCTTTTACTTTACATATTGTCGGTTAATTTACCAACTTTATTACACTCCCTTAGTGCTTTACGCTATACAGAAATTTGATACACCTCACCCCTTAGTCCTCCGTATCCAACTTTGGCTACGCCGCATCTTTACCGAGCATAAAGATATTGTTTTTTGTTTGGTCCCTGGTCATGTTTGACGTTACAGGGCAATGAACAGGCAGACACTGCTGCGCGGTCAGCAGTACATGACCTACCAGTTTCTGTAGAGGTATTCCATTTATGGACTATTTTGCTGCAATATCTTCCCAACTTCACACCCGTTGGCAACAACGTTGGTCTACTATGCTCGGCAACAAACTTCAATCTATTAAACCGAGTATAGGTTACTGGTCGTCTTCTTATCACCAGTGTCGAGGTTGGGGGACTACTCTCTCCTGTCTTCGCATTGGCCATACTCGTCTTACCAGGATATCTCATGGGGAGGCGCCCTGCTCCTCTCTGTGAGAATTGCCAAGTTCTATTATCAGTCAGCCACATTCTGTTGGACTGCCCACTTTATCAACGAGCAGCAGAATTTACCTCCGTGGGTCTTCGCCTGCTGCTCTCTCTTTACCTTCCCCTTCTCGCTGAGGACCCACCTTTCATCCAGACTCCCCATTGATTTTGACAACAACTGACTTACTTCAAAAATTTGATCCCTTCACCCCTTTCTACTTCAACTCTTGCTCCCCCCTACCCCTATACTATCCCCTCCCCCGGTTTTCGTAACCTTGATAACCCTCCTCCCTTCTGCCACCAATACCCTCGTTTCCTTCCTACCCTGCAGCGCTGTATACCCTTTTTGGGCTTAGCGCTTTTTTTTAAATTATAATAATAATAATATTCACCAAAAAATAAAAATTTGACTGTGAGCCCCATTTTTTTTCCGGAAACAGCCAAGCAAGGGACCATTTCCCTAGGCTGACTCTTTTCAAGTATTTTGCGTGAAAGCAATCAAAATCATATCTATTTCTGTAATATACATTCCCATCCGACTTAAGACCTGCCACTTACAACCACTGACTTATGACCGTTTTTTTTTATCCCAAAAATTTTCGGGGAAAAAAGAACTTTTTGGGTTTTTGTACACAGGTTTATCCAAAACCTTACAGTATAAAATACAGTACTAACAACTAAAAAGAAAGTAAAACATAAATCCCAAAATAAAACAATTAGTCATTACAAAAATTTTTTGTTGATATTAAATAGAAAAGTTCGACTTACACCATTTCGCTTAGCCCGGGGTTTTCGGAACCCACTCCGCGAAGCGGGGGTTTTCCCATTTTTAAAAAGGGAACCGGTTAAAAAAAAAATTCGTCCCACAGGGGGGTATTGTTAAAGGAACTCCTTTTTAGCAGATTTCTTTTCCTCTTCAAGGGGGTCCTTCAGGTTTTAAAGGGGCCCCTTTGGTCGAGGAATTAACCTTCGGTTTTTTCCCAACCGAACCTAATCCCCCCCCAATCCCCCCCCCCACCCATCCCCCCCTTTTTTTTTTCCCTCCTCCCCCCCCCCCACCCCCCCTTTCCCCTTCCCCTTTTTTTGGCCTTTGGTTTTTCCCCCCACAGCGCGCTAGTTCCGGGTAGGGAAAGAATAGGGGGGGGGTCCAAACCTTTCCTTTGAGGTTCTTGGCGGGGGGGCGTATTTTTTGCCGGGGGAATCGGGGTCGCCGGGGGATGTCCCGATCCCCTCCGGTACCCCCGGAGTAGTTTTGGGTGTCTTTGGGGCGACAGTGTACTCTGGAAGCCACCTTCAGATTCCGGGGGGTGGTCCAAAGGAGGATGTTTTTGTGGCAATACCGGGCCACCCTCTTTTGTCCACCGAGGTACCGGGCAGATGGGGGTTCTATCCCGGATTGTTTTTTAGGCAGAAGGGTAGGGTAGGCCGGGTTCCAGCTGCATCTCCTACTAGCGGTGCTGAGGTCCTTTTGGGCGTGGAGGGGGGATTTCCGGGCCCTTTCGTTCCCCCGGGAACTATTCCCTCCCGCTCCCCCCTTTTTTTATTCTTTTTTTTTTTTTTTTATTTTCTTTTCTTTCTTATTTTTTCTTAAAAAAAAAAAGCGAGGGGGTAACCAACCATGGAAAACCCCAAATCCAGAACCCCTCCCCCCGGGCCCCTTTCTTGATACGCACCCCTTTTGACCCTGCCCTTGTGTTTAGACCATTTTTTGGACACTCCGATCCCCTGTACCTCTTGCTGGTGCTGTTTCCTCACCCGCTTCGGGTACCGGGGCTCGACTGACTCCTTCGTTTTGTCTAAATCCGTCTCCTTTGACTAGCTTCCGGCTTCCCCCTTTTCTAGGTAGGGCAATTTTGAATTCCCCCATTTCACCCCGGCCCAACCCGGCCCCTACTCCTAAACCAAACGCAATCTCCTGATGATCTCCTTCGTTCCCTTCCATTCTACTCGGAAAAGACCACACGTCAAGCCCCCCTCTCCACGCCATTTTTTCGCCACACAATGGACTAAATTCTTTACTTTAAACCGATTTTTTTCTGCCTACCTTTCTGACCATAGTATGGCAAAGCGCCCCGCATCATGTTGGTAGGATATTTCTTTCATGTCTAAAGGTGGTACGCGCCTCGCACATCCAGAATGCTACCCAAGCTCGTACTTTCTCTCCTTTGAAATATCGATACTACTCCTATCACTATTGAAAAATATCTTTCTCTAAATTTCGTATGGTACTGCTTTCGCCCCCATACCTTTCCCAAACGAATTTCCAGTCATGGGGCAATGACATTCTTAACACTGGAACCCAGGATCCCCCAACCCCAAAGTAGACACTATGTCCTTTCCCCTGGCAGAGTTTTACCCTTGCAATGTGCTCGTTTAACTTTTGACAGCCGGAACTCCCGTCCTCTGTTGTCCCGCGGACATGGGTTTACAAGTTCGAAAGGTGATACCTACACCGAAAACATGTAGAAATTGCGGGGTTTTTTTGGGCACCCAGCGAAATATTGCGATTAGGCCGAATCCCCAGTCTGTGGTCCGACGACCATTCTAATACACTTGCAGTCAACCTCCATTTTCCCTAATTGAAAAAGCTCACCCTTCGTACTCCCCCCGTTGCCAGGTCTACTTAAATAACGTAAACCCGTTCCTCAAAGGGCAAAGGTCTCCCTTTCAGGGCATTCTCATCTCGCCTCCAAGGGAACACCCCGTGTTTCTTATTCTCTGTTTCAAACTCCCCCCACTCTGGGGTCCCATCTTCTGCAGCCTCCTCTTTTTTACCCCTCCCAAGCCACTCCGGGCATCTAACCCTTTTTAACGTCCCGACTACAACCAGTCTGTTCTACATTTTTGCGCCTTCCTCACAACCCCCAGTATCGACAAGACCTCGTATGACACCTAATACCAATCCCCCCTCTACTTGCAGAAGCCCAAAAAAAATCCCATTGCTCAAATCTTCTTGCCCCTTCTTCCTTCTTCCACCTCCACACTTTCCCTTTTTCCGTCTCTGACCTATTTTTTCTTCCCCTCACTCTGACTCTATTAAAAGGTGGAGATTCCCCCTCCTCCTCGTACTATGCCTTCCACCCCGCCCCTCCTAATTTTTCTCCCTTTCTGCCACCTCCCATTTTCTGCCCTTCTGTCTTCCCCCACACCATTCCCCCCCTTACATCTTCCCCCTCCTCTACTTTGGTACAGCCCATTACGCCCCAATCTTTACTCCCCCCTCCTCCTTCTATCTCCATAGGGCCCCCCACCATCTTTGAATTCAAAACACTTGAAGCCTTTTTCAGAAATATTGCAAAAAACTAAACCTTTAAAAGACACTATTCACTTCCTGTACTTCTCTTCCCTACCCTCCATTTCAAAACCCCCTTTCTTCGAAAACCCCCCATTCCTCGCTGCTTGAACGTCTTCCAATGTCACCAACTTGATTTTCTTACCCCTCTAGTCCGTAGGTCCCTTTCCCTAGGGATTCCTTGTATTTTTTTCATCCCCAAAATCAGGGCCCTATTTACAGTGAATATCGGGGCCTCGGGGTAAGGGGGTGACTTCAGATGTTGCTTTCCGGGTTTTTTCCGTTGGTGCTTGCTTACAAGAAATAATTTTTATTGTTTTCTTCGGATCCTTTTCTCAAGGGGGACCTTTAATGAAAGTGTCCTTCTTCAGCAGTGATATTCCGTAGTAAACTATCTGTCCTCCCTCGCTGCATTAACTCACCCCCTTTCCCTTGAAAAAGGGTTTACAATATGTTCTTTATATCTCTCCCCTTTCTCGAGATTTCTTCCCAGTTTGCCTTTCTTGTTTCACCTTTACCCCCCCACTTTGTTACTTGGTGTTTTTTAACGCCCCATTTCCTCGGGGGGGGGGTTCATTGGACTCACGGGCACCCAAATTGGGAGGCTTTTCTCGCCTCTCGCCCCCCTCCATGTTTTAAAACGGGTACCCCCCCATTTTGATCCCGTACCATACTCTCTTGCTAAATTTATCATCCTCTTCCTCCACGCACTAACTTCACCTGGTCGTTCTACCGGGCTTACTGCAACAATCATTTTTTCCCAAACATTCTTTTTTCTTCCCTTTTACCCCCTTTCCCCTACCCCGCGGCAATTTGCTCGGCAAATTTGGGGCCTTTACCACACCTCACTGCTTTTAGTGAGGTTCCTTCTTCATCCCCCCATTTATGAGCTCCCACACCCCTTTTCGACATCGCTTCTCATTCTGTACCCCAAACCTCAGGCAGCATTCTCGAAATGGTGCCTTGGTGGGGCTCCTGCTTTTGCTCGTGCCGTACGTTTGAAAAAAGGGACCGGGGACAATAGAACCGCTGAGAGATTTTATTTTAACAGAATGTGCTATCGCTCGCGTGCCATCCGTGAAGCTAAACAAACTTGTTGGCGAGACTATGTTTCCCACCATCACCTCTGCTTTTTCATGAGTCAGTTTGGGAAAAAAGTGAGGAAATTGAGTGGTAAATACTCTCCGCCCCCCCTCCTTTCTACGGGTCATGGGGTTTTTATGTAGCAAACCCCTCGACGTTGCCCTTGAAAATTGCACACATCTGGTCCGTATTTCCTAGGGCTCCTCTTGCCCCGTTTTTTCCCAAAGTTGCTAGAGAGTTAGTACCCTTGGCTTTTCTTCTCTCAAGAAAAACAGTAAAGGCCTTTACACTTTAAAAATAAGGCAACGCCTCAGCTTGCCGTCATCGGGTGGGCCTGACGACATTGGGATTCGTATGTTACAACATTTTTCTCGGTCGCCCCCTTGTATCCCTTACACCTCTTCAATCTTATTTGGGGACAAGGATTCTTCCCCGGGGGGAAAACTGCCATTGTTCTCCTTTCTGCAAACCGGGTACTACAGGCATGATGCCTCCCACTATCGCCCTCGCTCTTACTAGTGCGTTTCAAAATGAGGGGAAAGTCTGTAAATCGACTTTTTTTGTGGTATTAGAGACACACAACAGTCTCTCCGCTAGTCAATATGGGTTTCGTAAGGGCGTTTTTACCATAGCCCCCACTACCTTTGGATACTATGTTTGTAATGCTTTGCGAATAAACTCAGTTTTTGCCATTTTTTTTGACCTTGGGGAAGCATAGACAAACTTTGGGGGTATAATTTTTGGCCCCGCCATTCCTTAGGCCTCCGAGGGAATCTACCATCCTTCCTTAAAAACTTTTTAACGACAACATTTCTGTGTTTGAGTCAATAATTTCTTTCCCCGGGCTTGCCAAACTGAAGGGGTCCCCCCAGGGATTTTCTAACACAACACTTTTTTTCCTTGCTATAAAAAATTTGGCCCTGTTCTTCCCCCCAATATTTGGTCATCACTCTATGTTGATGACTTCGCATTGCTTTTTGCAGGCGCGCGATTAAATTGCATTTTCTCCCCATCGTCGACCGTGTTTCCACTTGGGCCACCATCTGGGTTTTTTAATTTTCAAGTACCAAAAATCACCAAATTACTTTCACTAGATGCTCTGTCATCCCGACATCCTTTGATCTCTATGGCTCCCCTATCCCCGAACGTGATACAGTCAGGGTTTTAGGCCTTCTCTTTGACCGTAGGTTTTTCCTGGAAACCTCACATTACCTCTCTAAGGCAACTTGTCACAGCCGGCTAAACCCTTTTAAAAAACCCCTTTTCTCTTTCCCGGGGACTGATCTCGAATTCTCTTCGCCTACATTCAACCCCGTTTTATCGAAACTCGATTGTGGGACCATTTTTTCCGCGGCCCCTCCTGTACTCCTTTTAGCCTTTCTCTACCATCACCCGGATTACTTTGTGCCTTGGGGCTTTCGCTCTTTCCCCTTGAGAGCCCTATCAGAAGCGAAGTTCCCTCCTTGTCTGATCGCCGTGATGCCCATTCCCTTTCCCACATGTCCCCTATCAAAGATCTCCCCCAAACCCCATTTATAAATGGTCACCGATATTAGTAGACATTCTTTATTCATTTGCTGCCCCCGTTTCTCCCTCCCTTTTCTCTCACCTACATTCCTTTTTGTCTTCCCCCCAGTTACCACCTTTTTAAAGTTCATGTAGCATCTCATTTTTCCCACCCCCCTGGGGTTCCAGCTGTTTGGGTCGTTTTTTCTCACCCCCTTTCTCGAAAGCTCAACTGCCTCGGTCTTTCCCGCTCTCTTTTTCTTTATCACTTCCACCCCATTCTATGCCACCCTGTGTACACAATGGGTCAAGTTTCAAGTTGGTCAACTCGCTCGGTAACAAAATTATTTTATTTAAAACCCAGCAAGGGATGGCCCCTTCTTGTTATCAGGCCGAGGTTGGGAGACCACTCCTCCCGCCTTTGCATTGGCCAAACTGTCTTACTCATGGGTTCTCATGGAGAGGCACCCCGTTCCTCTCTTGAGCAGTGTCAAGTTCCAGTATCGATTAGCCACATTCTGTTAAAAACTGTCCTCTTATCAACGAGCATGCAGAAATTTTCCTCCCCGTCCTTCGTTTTACTACTCCTCTTTACCTTCCCTTTTTGTGATGGACCCTCGTTTAATCCTGACTCCTCATTGACTTCTTTACAACGACTGATTTACTCCACAAAATCGATGATACTTTTCGCACTCCCCTCAGCCCCTTTCTAGTTCAGTCTCTTGCTGCCCTTTACCCTTTCACCATCCACTCCCCCGTGTTATCCGAACCTATTCCTCATCCATCTCCCTTTTTTCCACCTGATGCCCTCCTTCCTTTCCCGCCCCGCAGCACTGTATAGTCCTTGTGGTTAGGCTTCTTTTTTATTATAATAAAATAATTAGATTTCTTTCTTTTTGGGGATGTTAAGAAACATCTTTCCATCTACATTGCCCCAAATTTCAATAAGAATCCAACAAACAAATGGATACATTCCTGGGTCAAGAGCAAACCCCTCACCAGTGTCAAGGAACCCACCCTTAGGGCTGCTTGCTTGGGGAAATTTTGCCGCGTATGGAAGCAAAAAAAACAACCGATCGACTGCTCATATTTGGAAAAACTCGCCTGGACACGCTCGCAAATAAGGTTCCCTGTAATACTATTATACTTACAATGGGTTTTTAAATTTAGCTCTAATTAATGTAACACAAATTAAAAGATTACTAATGGGGGGCTGCAAATATTACATGGTAACACAAACAGACATCTGTCCTCTTAACCAGCTGGACATAAGATGATCCGCAGAAGTTTCATTGATACTGTATAGGTGCTCAATAAATTTCTTGCTAAAACCCGATGGCTTCTCTTATTTTGTGGGAAACTAACTGGGGCTAAAGCTCCTGCTTCACACACGGAGGGCCCGGGTTTTTGATTTCCCCGGGGTGGAAAATTTTTACACTTTTCCTTTAAAACCCGTTTTCCTGTTTTACTTAGCAGCAAATAGGGACCTGGGTGTTAGTCACTAGTGTGGGTTGCATCCTGGGGGACAAGATTGAGGGCCCCCAAAGGAAATAAGTTTCGTCCTCGAGACACCCTGACTTTTTGGGTTATCCTGGGTGGGGAACCCTGGGGTTAAAAAACCAAACGAAACTTACTCCTTGCTTCTTGAAGGACCGGGTTTAATCCCAAAGTGGAAAACAGTATTGGGAAAGTTCCTTTCACCTTTGCCTGTGTTACTTGCAGTAAATAGGACCTGGGGCTTGCCAACTGTTTGGGGGGACATTAAGGAAAAAGGATCAAAGAAACCTATAGGAGCAAAATTATTGGCTTTTTTTGGGGGATTCTAGATTACTAATCCACTGATTATTAATATGAATCAAATCCTCTTCAACATTTTCAGCTAGTTTTAAAATGAAAATAGAAACTGTCAGCATGCAATCTGCTTAAGAGTGAGGAACACACAGTGACTGCAAATATTTTAACTACTATAAAAGACTTATTAAAAGTTTCAAGATGTCTTAAAAACTTAGTTTAAAATTTCTGTAGAAGACAATGTTGACACTATTTGTGAGTATCTGGGTCTGGAATAAACAGGTAACATAGCCATAGTTTATTGATGCCTCACACTACAAGTTGACAGTAGTTAGAACAGAGTACTCACTGCCTGAACAGTGTTCTGTGCTGCCAGGCAACTTTGCTGAACCCTTGCAGATACTCCATAATGAAAATATTTTCAAAGAGTCTTAACTTGATAAATATACAAAACATCCACACGTATTATTGTGCCTACTACATACACAGAAGACTATACTCTAATGTAAACCCTCCTCTCAAACTCCTCCTTGATAATTACAACAGAACACACAACCATAATATGAGACACAGATCACTCTTCGATGTCCTTCGTGTTCATCTCTCTCCATGCAAAAATTCTATGCACGTAAAAGGCCTGAAGATCTGGAATTCATTGCCAGAACACACTAAAGGACCCCTGTCTGCAAATCAGTTGAAGGCCTTAATAAGAAATCACCTCATCACCTAAAATTAACCAGACAAACCGTTCCTAATCACTACCAGTTTCTCAAAAGCTACTCATTTTGTGCTGATTAATGCTCAACCACTTACTACTTCGAAATAGGATGTCAATTTTTTCAATGTTTTAAACAGTAGTAGATTGTAATACAGTACATCATAAAGTAAATTGTTTCATTGTAATACCAAATTTCATTGTTTTCAATAGTACTAAACTGCAATACATCATAATGTAAATTGTTTTGAATTGTTACATTGTAATGCTGTAATCTTTATTAACTAATTCAATAGTGTAATAAGTCTCTGCTAGACTTATCAAAACCATGTAGCATAACCTGATAGAATATACAGTTCTGCTTTACTCACTGTAGCTCATCTAATGACTATATGAACTATGTATTATTGCCTTACTAATCTTAAGTTAATCTTTAAGTTTGCCCCAAATGTTCTGCATACTAAGGGGCTTTTGGTATGTACGCCCTACTATTATATTCCTCTGTACAACTATGTAATTTGTCAAAATAAACATATTTATCTTTTATCTTCTACACACACATCTTTGACTTGCCAAAATTACATAAAATTTACTGACTTCAAAAATTTGAAAATATGATTCTTGTTCTTGCACAGTACTGACATAAAGCATTCATTATCATTATTTAGTTTCTTTGCTCGAAGGTCTGATAAGGTCTAATTTTCTCTGTGAATGTAATCAGGTAATTATAATAGCAAGACCACTGTTTCTGTAGGTGGAATTCTTTGTGGCTTGAAAATCATGTAAATTAAGCCAAATTTTATCATGTATAAGGGTTCCATGCTGCATTAAAGTGTTTCATTTTATCCCACCCATTGTTTTTGTTGGTTTCTCTGTTCTTGATGCTCTGTTTTATGTAGGTAATCAGTATTTTGAATAAAGCAAAGTTGGGTCTTTAATTTAAGTGAGATAGTTAAATGCATATTATACATGCTAGCTTTGTAAAGAGAAATGAAACTTTTTAAACATTGATGAAAAGAGCTTCTAAACTAATTAATTAAACAATTATTATTTTATTAAAATGGTTATTCTTTTGTTAGATGTGAGTAGTCATTAACAGAGTATTTTGTCTCTCCTGAATAGCTTCGTGAAAGGGACAATAGGGTGTGTACCATTTAGAGGGTAAACTATTGTGCCCCTTCCATAGCATGACCCCTCTACCCCACATATGCAAGACACATGTGTCTATATGCACATGCATATTACAAACTTATTTAATGTGTTTTTTTGTGCTAATGCTCCAGCTGTTTAGAATATACTGACATCATTGATATTTTTTCCTGACTCATGAAGTATTTCTGTGTCCTCACATGGTAAATTTTGCAATTTATTGATTCACTGCTGTCTTGTTTTGATATAAAAATTCACAGCAAGCCCACAATTTGGAGAGAAAACTTTAGAAAAAGTTTTGGTCTGGAGGAGATGCCTTGTTGCTGGTGAAGGGGTCTCAAGCCAAAGAATTGGAGCTTCCCTCTCATTTTTTCAGATCAAAATTAATTTCCTCCCAGTACCCAGATACTGTATGATCTCTACAAGTTTACTGCTTCCCCATGAATATAAAATAATAATTTGACCCAGTGAGTACCTTGACGGTGGTTTACAGTGGACTGAAACATCATGTGAAGTTCCCTTTCCAAATCGTGGATTAGTTGTGAAGTGTTTCAGCTATAGTATTGTGACTTGTTTTTGATATGGAAGTTTTTCTTCTCATACTATGAGTTATGTTGTTGCACATAACTTCCCTTTGTGGAACACTAAATATTTATCAAAATTTTCAATGCTGCAGTACTCCATATGCACTGATAGTTTGTTTAAGCACACTCTAGATTTTTTATGAACTCAAAATTTTTAATTAAAAGTTAGGAATGTCACTGTGTGTTCATAAAGTATGTCTGTCTCTCAGTAAGTCTCTCTCTCTCTCTTCACTCCCTCTCTCTTTGCTCCCTCTCTCTTTGCTCCCTCTCTCTTTGCTCCCTCTCTCTTTGCTCCCTCTCTCTTTGCTCCCTCTCTCTTTGCTCCCTCTCTCTTTTTCTCCCCTCTTTCTCTTCTCTCTCTTTCTTTGGGCCTCTCCCCTTTGCTCTCTCTTTTCTCCCCCTCGCTCTCTCTCCTCTGCTCCCCCTCTGCCTCTCTCTTCTCTCTCTCTTTCCCCCTTTCCCTCTCTCCTCTCCTCTCCTTTCTCTCTCTCCACTCTCTTTTTCTCCTTTCTTCTCTCTCTCATCTCTCTCTCTCTCTCACTTTTTCTCTCTCTCTCTCTCCCTCCTTTTTCTCTCGCTCCCCTTTTTCTCTCTCTCCTCTCTGCCTCTCTCCTCTCTCTCTCTCTCTCTCTTGCACCTCTCTTTCTGCATCCTCTCCCTTTGCCCTCCCCTCCTCACACCTTCCCTTCTTCCTCCTTTCTCTCCTTCTTCCTCACTCTTCTCTCTCCAAAATCCTCTCTCTTCCTCTCTCTCGACTTTCTCTCTTCTCTCCTGGCCTCTCTCTTCTCCTCTTCTCTCCTCCTCCTTTTCTCTTTCCCCTCTTTTTCCCTACCTCCTCCTCCTCCCTTCCTCTCTCTCTCTTTTTTGCTCCCCGCTCTCCGCTCTCTCTTGTTTTTTTTTTTTTCCACGGGGTTTGGCAAGGTTGGGTTAAAGGTCCCTAGCTTTTTTGACAAGATTTACAGGTTAAGGATTCCTAACTTTTTTGGCAAGCTAAGACGTTACCTCACAGTCATTTAAAGCATTTCAATGGAATAATTTAGGCTCAAAAAGGGTTGTTTTAAGCTAACATTTATTTTTTTTTTCACTGGCTGCCTCCCACTGAGGTAGAGGTAGGGGGACTGAATAAAGAAGAAACACTTTCACTACCACCACTCCCTTACTGTCTTGCCAAAAACAAGAATATTACAATTTCAGATGCCCCCCAAACTCAATATCCCCACCCCCCTTCAGGCGCAGGCACTGTACTTCCCCCTCCATGATTCAAATCTGATTTTATTTCTCTGAAACTCTTATATATGTTTTTCCCTTTTTCGCACTCCAACAGCAGTCAGGTCTCAAAAAATCCCACTTCCCTCTACTCCTTCCTTTTCTAATATGAAAACACACACTTTTTGGTTTTGTTAGATGTAGGGTCTTTAAATTTAAAAATAAGTTTTAAAGTAAAAAACTTCATTTTCCCAAAATTTTTTAAAAAATTTAAAATTAAAAATTTATGAAAATTTGTTTTTGACTTTTATTTTTAACTTTTATAAAATTTCGGGTTGAAAGGTTTAATTTTTTATTTTTTCTTTTTTTTTTTTTTTGAAAAAGTAAACCTTACCCCAAAAATTTAAATTTTTTTTTAAAATTCGATCATTTTTACTTTCTTAAAAATTTTTCCTTTAAAAAAATAATTTTATTTTTCTCAAAAAATTCCTAAAATTTTGGAGATTTTTTTTTTAGTTTGATTTTTTTTTTCCAAATTAAACAAATTCAAATTATAGAGAATCCTGTGTGATCACCTGTTTGTAACCACAGAAACAGTGTTCAGTTCTTGGTGTCTCATCCTTTGTATTTATTCTCTTATTAAATAAAAAAAAAAAATTTCTAGAGGTGGTAAAATTTTTACTACATTAAACTGTAAATTATCCCAAATTTTTTTTTTCTACAAGTCTATGTTTAGAAAGCTTTCTTACAGTATATTCTCTTTTATAATGTTATCTGCGATCATCATATTTTCTCTCTTCCTTTTATCAGCCAGTGAGGGCATAGTTCGATTTTTTTTTTTTAAAAATTTGCTTAAAACTCGCTTTTTTAAAGCTTTTTTTGAATTTCAGCAGTGTAGTAAGATTTTTTCAATAAATTGTATAATAGGGGGTCTTCTATCAGTTTTAACCCCCAAAAACCCCCCACCTTTACTTGATGCTTGAAATTTTTTTGGGTTTAACATTCATTTTCCCTTCTGTGGTCTGTTTTTGCTTTTTCCCCAATATCTATGATTTTTAAAACTTTCCAATATTAAAATTCCCTTTTCCCCATCATCTCTCGTTACTAAAGCCTTTTGGGTTTTTTTTTTGCGGGGATTCAGTTAAATTTTTTTGTTAATCTTCCCTTAGAAAATTTGGGTAAATTTATTCAGGTATACACAAATTTTCATTTAAAAGGAAATTATCATACATAGCAGCTATTTTAAGAACCTAGGAAAACCCAAAAAAGTTAAACTAAGTGACTTTTTTCCATGGGGGTTTTTTTAAAAACCCTTATTATTATATTATGAAGAAGATAATATTTTTTTATACTAAAAGGGGAAAATTTTACTAGGAAAAAGGGGAAAAATGATTTTTTTACTTTTACACTTTTTTTTTTTTTTTTTTTTTTCAAAAAGTCGGCCGTCTCCCCCCGGGGCATGGTGCCCCCCAAAAAAAAAAGAAAATCCCCAAAAAAAAAACCACCCTCACCCCCAATCAACATTTTCACCACACTCGCACACCATCTTTTTTTTGGGCAGAGGTGCTCAAAAATAAAACACTAGAAGCATAAACATAAAAAGATCCCAAAACATATCCCTCCAAACTCCCTTTTTCCCCAAAAACCCCCCCTTTAAAGTGCGGGCTTTTTTTTTAAATTTCCCCATTTCCAGGACTAAAGGGCCCGGGGACTAAAAGAAAAAAACCCTTTTCCCTAAAATCCCTTCAAAAATATTCCCCTGCTCACACCCCCAACAATCTTTCCGGCCCCAATTTCCCATTCGTCTCCATTCACCCCCAATCTAAAAACGTCACGCACGCTTGCTGGAAGTCCCAACCCCTTCCCCCAAAAAACCCTCCTTTTCCCCCCTCTTCCAACCCTTTCGGGGGGCCCGCCCCCTCCCCCGCCTTCCTTCCCCTATAGATTTTTTCCCTTCCTGTAATTCTACTGTAAACCTTTCTCTCTAAATGACCAAACCCCCCTCAAAAAACCCCCCCCTTTCTGCCCTTGACTAATACTTTTAAAAACCCCACCCTTCCTCCAAATTTTCCAACACCCCCGGTTTTTCTGAAATTAATATTTACACCCACAAAATTTCCCTTAAACGGGGACATCTCCGCGGGCCCCCAACCGCTCCTCGCTGCTGCTTTTTCCCCCACCCAAGCTTCACATCCTTAAAAGGGAGTTTTTGGTACTCATACTTTCAAAAATTCCCTTCTTTCCCTCCAAAAATAAGTTTTTTGACTCCACATATCCCTCAACGCACCACCCCACCTTTTTTCCCTCATTTAATTCTTTGATTAACCTCATCCTTTTAAATCCATCCGCCGACAAAGTAATCCCCAATTAAACTGAAAAAATTTAATTCCTTTTCCCTACTCCCCTCCCCCAAATTTGGGTATCCAAAATTTTTTTTTATCTAAACATTTTACACCCCCCATCACCTTAATCTTTTCTATTTCCCCTTTCAACTTTTCTAACCCTTTTCAAAACATTCCCAAAATATCCATAAAACCTTTTCAATTTTTCTTTTGAATCTCCCAAAAAGCCCCAGTATCATCACAAAAAGTAAATGTGTCAATTCCCATTTTGAATTTGATTCCCCCTAATTTAATTTCCCCCCCCTCTCCCAAAAAAACCCAGGGATTTTCTTCCTTTACAAACCCCCCTATAAATTTTTATTAAAAAAAACCATGGGGACATTACACATCCCTGTCTAAGACCTTTCTTTTTCCCGGGAAAGTAGTCTCCCTCTCTTCTTTAAACCCCCCTAAAAATGGCCTCACTTTTCCTCTAAAAACTTTTACAGCATTTTTAAAAACTTACCACCTATTCCATATACTTTCCCAAAAATCTGCCACATTCCCCCTCTAATCCACTCTATAAAAAGCCTTTTCTAAATTCCCTAAAAAAGCAATAAAAAAATTTTCCCCATCCCTTTTTCTAAATACTGTTACATAAAATTTTCTTTAAAGTAAACACCTGATCTACACATCCCCCACCCACTCTAAAAAACCCCTTTCCATCCGCAAACCTACAATTTTGTCTTTTCCTCTAATTCTTTCCCAAATTTTAAAAACCCACCCTTTCACTTTTTTTCCCGGGATACTCGTAAAACTTTTCCTCTATAATTTTTTAATCTCTTTTGTCCCCTTTCCCCTTTTTAAAAAAGGGAATTTTCAG